ATCAGAAATTATAAAAAAAAACTTTTTTCATTTTTTTTTTTTCATTATTTGAAAAAACTAATTCGACCTTGTGAGAACTGTCACTAAAGTATGCCAAAGCTAAAGAATTACAAAAAGATTTGAATGCTTCAAGAATATAACAATGAAAGGAGAGAGCAAGCCAAAAAAAGACGAAAGGAAGTTTCAGATATTCGAAGGGACAATTTTGCTGAAGACGACGTCTGGGTGGAGGATTTTTTTGCTGAAGATATCTGTGATATCTTTGCTGAAGATGTCTTTAGCGAGGACATATTTGCTGAAAGTAATGAATTTGATGAAGAAAGTGGAAAAGAACTTGATAAAGAAGCAATAATGGCCCCAACAATCATATGAGAGAAAGATAAAAAGGAAAATGCAAGGATAATTAAAGGATTACTGAAATCAATGTATTATCGTAAGTTCGGTACTTCTAGTACGCTTGCAAATGCTGCCAAGTGGACCTGTCAAATTACTTACTTTTTTAAGATTGCGAAGTTGGTAATGTGTCTTTAATTTTTGTGTAATTAGTATATGTAAAAGGTTCTAATTATTGTTATTATCATTAAGCGAGTTGCCCAGAAGGTTTTCAATACCTTCTACGTTTCCTATGTTTCCTATGACTTCCTGAGCAAGTGAGTTTTTCAGCAGGGCTACGCCCTTGGTGTCTCTTTCGAATGAGGATGTGGATGATAAATTTATGCTTCATGAAAGGATTGAACAACTTAAGAAAGACCTTACAAAGAATCAAAAAAATTTAACAGCTATTGAATATAATGACCGACGAGCGATCTATGAATATTTGGTGTGATTAGATAGCGGTGATGGCAAGATGAAAGCGAGTAATGAAGCTACGTGTATTGTCTGTATCTCTCCAAAACAATATACATCCCAGAGGATTCGCTTTTTGGCAGAATTTTATTTATACCATAAATTATTTCCAATTACATAACGTGATCGACACCAAAAATACCATCGACTCATTGATGACGAAGACATTGCTTTGCAGTATAAAGAATGGATACGTAAGGAATCAAAAGCAAATAGAATTAGTTCAACTGGTTTTATGCAGTATGTAAATGATTATATTTTACCAGAGTGCGTAGGAGGGTTTCAAAAAAAAATTTGTTTGCGAACAGCAGAAAGCTGGTTAGATATTTTAGGATATAAATATAGGGAATATAAAAAGGGGATATATTTTGATAGATATGAGCGAGAGGATGTTGTAGCATATCGAAGTATGTTTTTAGATAGATTAAGAACATTAGAGCAGAGAATGGCAATATATGAGGGAGAATCAATGATAAAAGTTCCACCGGTGCTTAATGAAGGGGAACAAGAGTTAATTTTTGTAACCCACGATGAATGTATATTTTATTCAAACGATGGAAAAAAAAGAATTTGGGTATATGATGATAAGATGCCTTTACGAAAAAAGGGAAATAGAAGGTCAATAATAGTAAGCGAATTTCTAACAGAAGAATGTAGTTGGTTGAAATTGACTGATGAAGAGGTAGAAATGTACCCAGATGTTCCTGCAGAGGCTCGTTGTTATTTCATACCTGGTAAAAACCAAGAAAGCTATTGGACGGTTGACCATTTATTAGACCAAATAAGGAATAAAGTAATCCCTATATTTGAAGCGAAGTTTCCCAATACGACTGCTGTCTTTGACTTTGATAACAACACCAACCATGTGGCATATACAAAGGATGCCCTTATCACATCAAGAATAAATTTAGGACATGGGTAACCAACCAGTAATGCGATTAACAACTTTTTTTGATTCCGATGGAAATAAAAAATATAGCAAATAGTTTTTGGAAAAAATTATGAGGATCCGACTATGGGAGGAAAGCCGAAAGGGTTAAGATTAGTATTGAAAGAAAGGGGACTTTGGAGAAAAGAATTGCGTTTAGAATGCAAGGTGTGTAAGAATAAAAAATTGGCAAATAATCTTCTACGTGTAAATTGTTGTACAAGAAAGGTTATAGCTTCTCAACCAGACTTTCTTGCACAAAAGTCAGCTATTGTAAAATTAATAGAGAGCGCTAGCCATTTATGTATTTTTTATCCGAAATATCACTGTGAACTTAATTTCATTGAAATGTATTGGGATGCAGCCAAATTCTATACAAGAAACCACTGTGATTACTCATGGGCTGGTTTACAAAAAACTGTTTCACAGGCACTTGACTCCATTGACATTATTACAATCAGGAGATTTGCTAGAAAGTCCTGGTGATATATGGATCTGTATCGTGAAGAACTGACAGGAAAATTAGCCGAATATGCGTGTAGGAAGTTTAGGTCGCATAGAAGAGTTCCCCGAAGTGAATTGGCATCTTTTATGCAAGAGAATATCGATTGTATCGATTCGTAAAGACTTTTTCTTTTTTTTTTTTTAAAAAAAAAATTTGTTCTAAACAGTATATGCCACTCTACTCTTTTCTAGATCTTAGTAAATATCAACAAAATATTGGTTAATTCAGACGTTCTGGCAAAATTTTTTTGCAAACCTTTTTTTGCATTTTTTTTTTTTTTTTTTTTGCAATTGTTTTTTTTTTTTTGCAATTTTTTTTTGCAAAATCTTTTTTTTTGCAAATTGTTTTTTTTATTCTTTTTATATCCTTTATTTTTTTTTTTGTTTTTTCGCTCTTTTGTAGAGAAAATGTATTATGCTTTTTCAATCGAGTACTGGCAATTAGTTATACAAGAATAGGCAAGTAGTTATAAAAAGATCCATATTTTCATTATAGAATATGGGATTAATAAACTGAATCGCTCATTTATTACTTTTTGGTTATTTGTAAGTTGCAATGTTTTATGTTATTTA